CTGACTGGTACTGTGGCTCAGTAGGTTAAAACTGTGGCCTGCAGCACCGGCATCGCATATGGGCTGGTTCGATTCCCAGCTTCTCCACTTCCAATCTGGCTCCCTGCTGATGGCCTGGATAAGCAGTGGAAGATGGCCCAAATCCTTGTGCCCCTGAACCCATGAGGGAGACCCAGATGAAGCTCTGGGATCCTGGCCCAGTCCCGGTCATTGTGGCCATTTGAGGAGTAAACCAGAGGATGGAAGGTCTCTGTCTCTCATTCTCTTTCTGTAACTCTGCCTCTCAAATAAATAAATATTTAAAAAAGAAAAAAAAAAGCTCAGGACTTGGAGCTCAAGATACAGACCTTTAAAAAAATAAATAAAGATGGGGTCAGTGCAATGGCCTAATGGGTAAAGCCACTGCCTGCAGTGCCGGCATCCCATATGGGCGCCAGTTTGAGTCCCAGCTGCTCCTCTTCTGATCCAGTTCTCTGCTGTGACCTGGGAAAGCAGAAGATGGCCCAGGTGCTTGGGCCCCTGTACCCATGTAGGAGACCCGAATGAAGCTCCTGGCTTCTGGCTTCGGATCAACTCAGTTCCTGCCGTTGTGGCCATTTAGGGAGTGAATCAACAGATGGAAGACCTCTCTCTCCTCTCTCTGCCTCTGCCTCTCCGTAACTCTTTCAAATAAATAAATAAATCTTTAAAAAATAAATAAAGCGAAAAACAAAATAATGACAGAATTCAGTGGAAGGTTTAGAAAGTAAAGTACTAGAGGGGCTGGTGCTGTGGCGCAGCGGGTTAACACCCTGGCCTAAGCACCGTTATCCCATATGGGTGCCAGTTCGAAACCTGGTTGCTCCACTTTCGACCCAGCTCTTCGCTATGGCCTGGGAAAGCAGTGGAAGATGGCCCACATGCTTGGGCCCCTGCACCCATGTAGGAGACCTGGAAGAAGCTCCTGAATCCTGCCTTCGGATTGGTGCAGCTCCGGCTGTTGCAGCCAATTGAGGAGTGAACCAATGGATGGAAGACCTCTCTCTCTCTCTCTGCCTCTCCTCTCTCTGTGTAACTCTTGACTTTAAAATAAATAAATAAATCTTTAAAAAAAAGAGAGAGAGTGAGAGAGTAAAGTACTACAAAGTACAGCAAGAAGACTAAGTTAGCACGAAATAGAAACAATTCTAGATTGGCAAGGTTTTTTAAAAAATATACCCCTTGAAACCTTTTCCAGGAAGTTCTAGAGCTCTTTCCCAGCACAAGAAAAAGGGAAATCTGCTAGGCACAGGCAGGAGAGGGAGGGAGGGAGGGCAGCTGGGCAGCAGGCCAGGGACAGCCAGATGGGGCAAAAGGTGGGGAAGGGGCCAGAGTGGTGGTGTGGGGATTAAGGCGCCGCCTGTGACCCCAGCATCCCCATCAGAGCGCTGGCTCAAGTCCTGGCTGTTCCTGGCTAGTCGGCTTCCCAGCCAGCAGGTCGTGGCTCAGGAACTCCGCCACCATATGGGAAACCTGGATGGAGTTCTAGACTTCTGGCTTCAGCCTTGCCCAGCCCCGGTGTTACAGGCATCTGGGGAGTGAACCAAAAGATCTCTCTCCTTCTTCCTTTCTCCTTCTCTTTCTGCCGTTCAAATAAATAAATAAACCTTTAAAAAAAAAAAAAGTGGGGATGGGATGGGGAAGAACTCCAGGTGAGGCACTTGTGTTAGGGTGCGAGTTTGTGATAGGCACAGAAAAAAAGACTAAACAGCCAGGAAGTGAGGGTACTGTGGACTCCAGAGAAAACAAAAAGCTGGCAAGAAGGGTATCAGCCCCAACACAGCACACGGCCACCAGTGAACACTCACAGTCTTAGTAACAGCACCATGAAGGCAGACATGGGGCCAGGGAGGGGTGGAGAGGCACACTGCCACTGAGGAAGACAGGTCCTCAGGGGAGGCCCACAGTGGGAAGTGGCGCCTCCGGACGGGGGATGGTGGGGTGTGACAGGCTCGTGCTATTTATAAAGTGGCCACATGTTCTTATAATTTGTCCATGTTATTTTTTAGGAATTTAAATTTTTTGAATTACAAACATAATTGTCTGGTGAGGCAAAAACAATGTCATCCCAATGCCTGCTTAATCATAATACAGAGTTACTGTCTCTCAAATATCACTCCCCCATGTTCTACTCCCACAGTACTCAAGGTGGTAGACGGGCTGAGCTGGCACCAGGAAGGGGAGGTGCACTGTGGCTGGCTGGGAGGCTGGGCAGCCCCCCTTCCTGGCCACACGCATCACAACATGGCTGGGATCCAAAAGGCCTCCCCACCAGTTAACACTGAAGCAACTTTTTGTTTAAAGAAAAACAAACCAGGGGCCGGCTCTGTGGTATAGAGGGTTGGGCCTCTGCCGGCAGTGTCAGCATCCCATGTGGGCACCGATTCAAGTCCCGGCCGCTCCACTTCCAATTCAGCTCCTTGCTATGGCCTGGCAAAAGCAGTGAAGGATGGCCCAAGTGCTTGGGTTACTGCACCTAAGTGAGAGACCCGGAGTAGCTCCTGGCTCTTGGCTTCAACTGGCCTAGACCCGGCCACTGTAGCCATTTGGGGAGTGAGCTAGCAGATAAAAGATCTCTCTCTCTCTCTCTCTCTCTCTCTCACTCTCTGCCTTTCAAATAAATAAATAAATCTTAAAAAAAGAAAAAGAAAAACCAACCAAGTGGGAAGGGTGCAGATGCCCTCCATGGAGCCGAGGCTTGCCTAGGCTCTTCCTGCTCCTGTTCAGGTCCACGAGGTCCCCTTAGGTAGTCAAGAACCCCCAAGAGGCCAGCCATAGCCACCCAGAGCAGCACGGAGGTAGACTCGGTGGCCTGGGCCCATGCTGGCGGCACTCAGAGCTAAGTCCTGGCCTTTCAAAGGCAGCCTTGCAGAGAAGGTGCTGTCCTCCTCCTCCTTGGTGGGCGGCCTCCCCAGCCCACGCCAAGCGTTTTACGGGGACACATCGGGTTCTGCACATATGGCAAGACCTGGTGGGGGTACCTATGCTTCCACCCTAGGCCATAAAACACCTCAGAGCACATCTGTGTCTGTCCAACAAGGAGCAGGTAAGCACACTCAACACCCAGCATCTCTGTCTGGAGTCTGCCGTTTCCCTGACGACACTCATGAGAACTAGAGGCTGGGTTGGAGGACACCACTCGGGCTCCGTCCCAAGCTTTCATGGACTCTGGACTCTGTCTGAACGAATCCCAGCCAAACCTCTGAGTAACGGCTCTAGAGATCCATCCTAACCCAGACTAGACAGCTGAGGCCAAAGTCACGTCAATGCCCAGATGCAAATAAATGCAATGGAGAGTAAAACTAAAATAGAAACCTCTTTTGAAGTTACACAGGTACATGCATTTTAAAAAAATTATTTACTTGAAAGGCAGGGGTAGAGAGAGAAAATGAGAGGGAGAGACAGAGACGCAGAGATTTTCCATCCTCTGGTTCACTCCCCAAAAGGCCACAATGGCCGGAGCTGGGCTGATCTGAAGCCAGGAGCTCCCTCCAGGTCTCCCACATGGGGTACAGGGGCCCAAGCACTTGGGCCATCCTCCACTGCTCTCCCAGGCCATTAGCAGGGAGCTGGATCGGAATTGGAGTGGTGGGACTCAAACCAAGGCCCATATTGGATGCTGGTGCTGCAGGCAGCAGTTTCACCAGCTGTGCCACAGTACTGGCCTTTGTGCATTTCTTAAAATTCAGCTAATGTGCACTAAGATTTGTTTCATGCATACAGATTTTACTTATAAGAAAAAAATTAAACACTAAATTCTAGCTAATAAGCAAACTGAGAGGCTGGCACAGTGGTGTAGCAGGTAAAGCTGCCGCCTGCAACACCAGTACCCCATATGGGCGCTTGTTTGAGTCCCAGCTGCTCCACTTCCAATCCAGGTCCCTGCTAATGCGCCTGGGAAAGCAGTGGAAGATGGCCCAAGTGCTGGGGTCCCTGCCACCCATGTGGGAGACCCAGAGGGAGTTCCAGGCTCCTGGCTTCAGCCTTACCCATTTGGCCATTTGGGGAGTGAACCAGTGGATGGAAAATCTCCCCCCACCTCTCTGCAATTGTGCCTTTCAGATAAATAATTTAAAAGAGAGAGAGAGACTAAACTGAGTGGGATTCACAGTGGCTGGTGAGGGGCACACAGGTTGATTTTACTGCTCTGCCTACTTCTACAATGTCTGAAACGTTCTGCGGTTAAAGTTAAAAATCTGGAGGTGACCATTTATCCTAGTGATCTGCTGGCCTGCACCCCACATCACAGGGCTTGGGTTGTGTCCCAGCTCTGCTGCAGATTCCAACTTCCTGTTAAGGCACACCTTAACAGGAAGAGGTGGTGGTGGCTGGAGCATTTGCCGTTTCTTGCCGTTTCCTGCCAACTTCATGGGAGACTCAAAGATTGAGTTCCCAGTGCCTGGCTTCATCAGACGGGGGACCTCTCGCACTCTCACTCGCCCTCTCTCTCTCTCTGCCTCTCAAATAATTAATTTTTTAAGAAACTTAAAAATCATGAGAGAACATGAGATGTTATTTCCTTAATCTGCTGACCACCGGGGGGATGGGCAATTGCCTCCAAATTGCAAATGTGCATCCCCAGGCCCCAGTGGTTTATCCTAAGGATTTGTCCCGCAGACCGGTTGACAAGTGTGAAACAGTATGCACAGGGGTCCAGTTACTGCTCACTGCCACCATGAACAGCAAAAGACTGTGGTGTGAAACTGGTACAGGAGGGGTCTCAGGGCCCAGACCAGAAGGATCATTTTTCTCTACGACCTTTTGTGCTTCTTGAATGTTGTACCACATTCAGTCTGAAGAACAATCAGTTAAAAGACAGTCAAAACCCTTAACCAAATTCCCAGCTGCTCTTAAACACACAGTCAAAGCTGTTCCCACGATACCCCCTTACTGCCATGGTTTCCATCAAGGTCCTCCTCCTGTCACTGCGTCACTGTGCAGAGGAGCCCTGCTGGTGACAGTGCCTGTCTGGTGGTACTCACGGTGATGCCGCCCAGGATGCTCAGGAGGCTCTGCACGCTGTCTCCAGCCAGAACGTCTTTGACCACCACCTCGGTGCCATCCTGCACTCAGAAAGCAGAGTGAGTCACTAGGCCAGACTTCGGGGGCGGGGCTGTCCACAGGACTGGCAGGGGGTTCAGACGGACAAGCCTGCTGTACTCAGGTCTGATACGCTCGAAAGAAAAACGAGGATGAACAACGCCTGTCCAGCGGAGCCTCGGTCTCTCAATGCCATGACTTCCCAGGGTGGGTCCCGGGTGTCTCCAACTGCAGGGCTCCGGGAGACAAACCAACTAGCTCCCAATATTCCCAGTGTAAAGAGATTTACAATAAACTGAGATTTATTTATGTTTGTTTAAAAAGCATAATGATGGGAATGAGGTGGGGAGAGATCGTCCATTTGCTGGTTCACTTCTCAAGTGGCCTGAACAGCCAGGTCTGGGCCAGGCCAAAGCCAGGAGCCTGGATCTCCATCCTGGTCTCCCATGTGGGTGCAGGGGCCCAAGCACTCGGGCATCCTCTGCTGCTTTCCAGGCACGTCAACAGGGAGCTGGACCAGAAGTGGAGCAGCAGGGACTCGAACTGGTGCTCCAGTAAGGGACGCTGACATTGCAAGTGGCTGACTGACCTGCTGCGCCACAACACCTGCCTCTGACAGCATTGTAGCACGATTTCACCCTAGGCTAAGGAAAAGGGAGAAAACCGTGCAGTTTTGTGACTTAATACAGGAACATGTCAGCTTGACCTCAGAAGTCCTTCTTAAAAAAATAAAAATTTGGTTTTTTTATTTGAAAGGCACAGTTATGGAGAGACAGAGGCAGAGAGAGAGAGAGAGAGAGAGGTCTTGCACTGGCTGGTTCACTCCCCAAATGGCCACAACGGCTACAACTGGGCTGATCTGAAGCCAGGAGCCAGGAGCTTCCTCTGGGTCTTCCACACAGATGCAGGGGCCCACGCACTTGGGCATCTTCTGCTGATTTCCTAGGCCATAGCAGAGAGCTGGGAGCAGGAGAGGAGCAGCCAGGACTTGACTGGCACCCACATGGTTTGCCGGCACTGCAGGCAGTGGCTTATCCTACTATGCCACAGTGCCGGCTCCCAGAAGTCCTTTTTGAAGTCATCCAAATCCTGCACTGGTCTCTTCCCTTCTGGTCCAAAGGCCAGAGAGGCACCAGCTCCGGTCCTTGCAGGAGGCCCCCCAGGAGTCGGACCAGGCGCTTCTGGTCTTCCAGTTGACACCTCTGTTCCTCAGGGCTGCGGCTCCACTTCTCCAGACTGGATGGAAGAAGGCCCTTTCCTTTCAAAAATCTCACCAACTCCAGCCACGGACGAAGCTACACCTCAGAATCAAACTTCCGCCAGAGGGCGGTCATTTGGCCTGGCAGCTGAGGAGCCTGAAAGGCCCAGGCTCCTTGGGGCTGGGGGCGCCCCATCCTGTACTGGAGCCCCAGAATCACTGCCAGTTCTTGGTTCCTGCCATTACAGATGCTCACAGGCAGCCCAGTCATGGGTCAAGTAGCTGAATCCCTGCCATCCACCTGGGAGACCTGGATGGAGTTCCCAGCTCCTGCTTCAGCCTGGTCCAGCCCTGGTCATTGCAGGCATTTGGGGGATGAATAGGCAGATGTGAACTCCCGTGCTTGCTCTCGCCTTCCTGCCCCGCCCCCATCTTTCTGCCATCAGATTTCTTTAACAATCTGCCCAGACAACTCCTTTGGTGTGGAAACGCCAGGACAGTGCAGGAGCCATCAGGAGTTTCACCCAGTCCTGGGACCGTGGCAAAGATGTGAGTTCTCATGGGATTCACTTAACCAACAGTAAGCAGTGGGAGGCCCAGGTCAGGGCCCCCAGGAACCAATACCACCGCCAGAAAGCAACTCAACATTGAAAGGACCTGCGGTGGGGACCCCACAACACCCTTGGCAATGGCAACTCCAAGTATGCGATTTCAGAGGCAGGAAACAAGCATTTAGCTCCTGGGTGAGTTACAACCGAAGCCTGAAAGTAGGGCAAGGTTCACGGATGGTAATAAATCAGCATAACGACTAACATCAAAATTAAAGGGAGTATTCTGAGTTCTCAGAAAAACGTGTTTGCAAGTGAAATGTAGAGAGAAAACCACATAAAACACCGCCGCATGTGTCACACAGTGAGTGCCCAAGTGCACAAGAGCGGGAGGCGCTGCACCAAATTAAAATGTGTGAACGGTGTTAGGAAGGTGTGCCTTTCCCCTGAACGTTGCCCTAACCGTTCAGCGGGAAACTCCAGAGACGTAAGACGACAGACAGCTACGTGCAAGCAGGGTCGCCCCCGACTCACCGCGTCCTGGACGCAGACCTCCAGCCGGCCATCCTGGACCACGTAGATGCTGGTGTCCGGCTCGTCCGGCTGGAAGATGGGCTCCCCCTCCTGCAGCTGCACGAAGACCATGTGCTTGCAAAGCTCCAGGAACAGCGGCTTCTCAAAGTGGCCCAGGACCCTGCAGGAACCAGAGTAGGGGAGGCGGGGGAGACACAGACCTCGCGCACATGGACAAACCACAGGCAACCTGTCAGGACTGTAAACTTCCGAGATCCCCATCAGCTCAAAGGACTCCTCAAGCTTTGACTGTGACCTTGATCCAGGTGCTTCCTGGGATGAGCCAGGTGAACAAGAGGAAGGGGTACCCTGCAGGGCCTGATGGCAAGACGGGGAAGGGGAGGGACCCAGACACGCAGCCACACACGGCTCACTTGATCTGCATTCGTTACTGAAGGAGGAAACACTGACAAACAGTTCACAGAACAAGAAAGCACTGGCAAGGACGCAAGCACCTCCCGAGGCTCTGCTGCCCAACACTGCACTGTGACCGTGACAACACGTGAACCGCCCACGGGCCAGGGGGCAGCAGCCACACGGCTTTGCCAGCCACCACAGGGGAGCCAAGCTGAAGACAGTCGCGAGTGACACCGCGGGGGAGTGGGCACGGTAGGCCTCCCACCCTCACTGTCTCACCGAACGCTCTTCAACATGTACAGGACTTCCGAGGGCAGCTGAGAGCTCTGCACGTCAGACTCGCTGAGGCCGGCCTCCAGCAGGCATGGTGGCGGCTCCTTGGGCTGCAGGGTGGGATACTCCTTCCTGAAACGCAGAATCCTGTGGGGCCAAGATTTGCTCACCCTGGGAACAGCGACATGCCTGTGGCTGTGGGGAGGACCCTGTGGGCTCTCTGTCCCCACCAGGGGGCCACTGGGGTTGTGTGATCTGCGGGATGCTCCAGTACCTCTTGGCCAAAGAGAGCACCTTGGCCCTCTTCCGGGTCCGCAGCCGGGGTGCAGCAGTGTTCCCGACCAGTGCGTGGGGCAGCGTGGTCACCTGCAGACCAAAGAGACAATAAGTGACCATCTGGCAAGGCGTGGGTGGGCAGCCTGCACTCCTGATGTCAGCTGCCAGGGTACAGCTGTGCCATCCCCCCCACCTTAAGGGCCACTCTCAAAGGGGACATTGCCATTGACAAGTGCGTAGCTCACAGCACAGGACTGTTCTCACTGTGCCCAAAGAGCTTCATGCCTGCTGCCCCCACCCCTCCTCTTCCATTTGGGTCACCACAGTCCCTTCCCACAACCCTTTAAAAGCCTACCACTGTTCAGTCCACCTTCTAGCCAGCAGCCACTGCCCCATCTGCCCCGGGTGTGGAACGTTCTCTGACAGCACCCATCCTCTGCCCAGCACAGCAGCGGTCACGACCGAGGGGCTCTAGCGTGCCGCCCTTTCTGTCTGCAGCCTCGCTCAGGCACCATTGCTTCGTGGCCTCTGCCTGAGCCCATCACACCGGGTCCAGTGGCCCTTGCTGGTGTTTCCATCACTGTGACTCTTCCTTTAGGTCCTGGGGTCCCTGATCTCCCAGCCCCTCTCACTGACCACTGCACAACTTTCCTGGGTCTGCTGGTTAATGGCCACCCCACCTGACCTCCAAGACCCTGCTCCAGGTCCTTCGTGTATGGCCCCTGACTCAGCACAGCTGGCCATGCAGATCCTGATGCGGACCGAAGACCCACACCCTTTGAGCTTTTCAGGGTTTCTACAGAGGAGATTTAGACTCATTCCAAGTGATTCCTGGGAATTGCTGGATCTGGTGGGTCTATTAACTGCCCATTAGCTGAAGACCAGAAAGAGCTAAGCCAGGCTGCCTATCCCCTGATTATGGCTTGCTAAATGTGGATTCCTGGACCCCAACATGTGAGGACTCAGGAATCTGTGGTTTAGAAGGTTCCAGAACCCCTACTGATACTGAACAATGAGTCAACACAGCATCTACCTTGGGGGTGAACATGCAGGTCTTTGGGGAACTTGGATACCTAGTCTCAGGGGGCTGACTCCTTCCTCAGCTCAGCCCCCCAAGTCCTGGCAGAGACCACCCATCTGGGCACTAGGACCAATGCACCCACCTGTCCCCAGGGAAGTGACATCGTGTCCTGTTCTCCTTCACAGCAAGTGTGCACTTCAGAGTGCCAGAGACCACCATCTTTTCCCACTTGGGTCCTTTACTCCACCTCCCCCAGAGCCTCCGGGGCTGCCCCACCAGTTGAGTTGAGTGGGGAAAGGTACCTCCAGGCAAAACGTGCTGGGTTTGGCAGGGGCTGCAGAGAGGCCAGAACACTGACCAAGGTGGTCAGACTGGGGAGACTGCACTACACTTACCTTTCTCATGATCTTCCGGCCATAGAACATTACTTTGTCTCTTTTCCGGAATCTGTACTGAGGAGTGGGCTGTGTCTGTCCTGTAAGGGGAGAGAAGGGGTGGCTGGGAAACTGTGAGAGGGGAGGGCTCTGCCAGGGCAGGCTGCACAAGTACATGCTGTGAGCTTCCCTGGTGTACCACACAGCTGTGGCACTGAGCCAGGCCCTGGAAACTCAGGTGCCAGTCCCACCCCAGCTACCATGGAGTCAGAGTAAGGGAAGGGTCTAGGTGACAGCCCTGTTGCGTAGGAGGAGGGGGCCTCATCTCCTCTCCCTGGAGTCTTGCTCAGGAAATGAGGGCAGAAAAGGTTCTGAGTAGTCTTGGCCTCCTGAGCCCGGACAGGCCACTGGAGTGCAACACCAGTGTCCCAGCTTCTCCACCCTCTGAACCTGGGTCCCAACCAAGGTACTCACGAGATCTCTCAACTCTTCTAGACACAAGAAAGATGATGCTGCCAACAAAGGCCAGTGCCAGGAGGGCTCCGATCACAATCCCCATCAGCTGAGCAAGAGGGGACACCAGACATGCGTCAGCAAGGCCACCTCGGCCACAGGCCCGCCCAGATGCCACCCGAGAGGCCTGGGAGGTGTTACCATGGTGGACTGTGAATGCTCCTCCATGAGCAGCAGCCCCCAGAAGCGCAGGGCACTTCCCAGGCAGAAGCCAGTCTGGAACAGAATCAAATGATCTGCATGGACAAGGAGTCAGGGCAGCAAGAACGGAGCTGTAGGTCAGGGGGATTCAATGGCTATGGAGATTTCCGGCGAGAGGCGACCTCACCAGGGGCTGAGGTCCTCTAAGCCCACCAGCCAAGAAGCTTTCAGGGCCACTTGTCTACCTCAGGTTCCTGGGGCTCATGCTGTGGACAACAGATGCCCCACACATCCCCAACACACCTGAGTCCTGAGAGCTCCGGCTCCCCGAGACACAGGTGGAAGGGGAACAAGCCCTAGTCACATGGGAGACAATGGCCACCACTCAAGGCCCTGCATAAGGCCCATGGGGCCCACAGAGCCGTGCCTGGAAGTCCCCTGGAACCTCTGGATTTGAGAACATTCTGTATCAGTTCACCAAGCAAAAAAGAAACAGTAGAGAGGGCTGCATGTGCCAGTATCCTACTGTATGCTGGGGGATGTGAGGGGGGAAGAGAGGTCCAAGCGGGATGGTGAGGTGGGAAGCCAGCACAGGATGCTGCTGGTTCCCTAACAGGTCCAAGAGAAAACACGATAAAGAAAGAAGCCAGACAAGCAGCCACTGGCCCTTCATCCTGAATCCGCACCTTTCTCCCACGCAGCCAGGAGCTGGGTGGGTTGGGGAGACAGCCTTTCTGTCCTTTCGGGTTTCTATACAAACCAGGCACTAACTCGGCGCCCGACCTTCAGAGAGCCAGGACTTAGCCACAGCAAGCTGTGCCAGAAGACCTGCGGATATCTGAAGGACACTCTGGACAGGGTCCAAGGAAGGCTGCCACACCAGAACCGCAAAGGAGCAGCCCAGAAGACTCAGCCCTTTGAACCTAGCTCTGGAAGCGCACAAGTCCTGAGTCCTGAGCTAACAACCACAGAGAGGCCCCTCTGTCCTGAGAGAAGTGCCATCAGGTGGCCTCCCTGCTGCGTGTGCTCACACAAACCAAGACAGCCGCGCCGTTGCAAGGTGACCTGATCTTAAGGCAGCACTGTCGCTGACATAAAGACGCCGTCTAGGCAAGGTGTCAATCAGGAAATGAAAGGGCTGGATTTTCCCTGCAGTGTCTGCCCCTAGCCCTGCACCCTAACTCCTCTCCCTCCCTCCTAATCCAGCACAGCTGCTTTCCCATGATGCACCCGAGTCCCCTCCGGCACCAACAGGACACCATGAACACGCGTCAGAGGAGATGCCATGACCCCCACCCAAACTCCACCCTTACCCCATAAAGGGGTCCACTAAACCGGGGGCAGCTCTGCGTCCTCACAGACTCTCCTCTCTTCCCCTTAGGCAGCCTCCTGTCCAGCGGCAAAAGCCTGGAATAAAATACCCGGGAAACATATTCCCACAACTCCTCCAGGCTCAGCTCCCAAACAGGCCCCAAGTGGGGGCATGACAGCACCACAACCACGCCCTTCACTTAAGTAACCGCTGTCCCTCTGAGCCGTGACCATGAGGTCTGTCTACCAAGGAAAGGCCGATCACATGGGCAGCCCTAACCTCTTCCCGTCAGCCTTTTCTAGCTTTTTTTTTTTTTTAATATTTTTTTTATTTGAAAGGCAGAATTAAGAGTTCTTCCATCTGCTGGTCCACTCCCCAGATGGCCACAACAGCTAGGGCTGGGGGAGCCGGAAGCTTCAGCGGAGTCTCCCAGGTGGGTGCAGGGGTCCAGGCACTTGGACCATCTCTACCGCTTTCCCAGGCGCGTTAGCAGGGAGCTGGATTGGAAGTGGAGCAGCTGGGACTCGAACCCGTGCCCACATGGGATGGCGGTGCTGCAGGCCGCGGCTGAAGCCCTCTGCACCATATTGGCAGCCCCAGGCTTTTCTAGCTCCGGAGATTGTCTTAAGGGGTCTAATTCCCGGCTCGTGAGTAAACGCTTCGCGGTGCGGCTACAGATTGGGACAGCGACACTGCACAAAACCAGCGCTGCAAGTCGCAGAGGGAACCACCACGCAGAGCGTGAGCGGGCCGCGGTCCCGCCTCGGCGCCCGGCGGCCTCCTCACGCCCCGTACCCACCTACCCACCTCCGGGCAGGCCTCTTCCTCCTCCATAGCTGAAGGGGCGGCACCTGGGCGGCCGCGGGGTCAGCCCTCCCCGGGGGCTCCCCAGGCCAGATTAGGTTTGCACGGGAAGTCTGCAGCACACTCTGCTCTCTGAAGAGAAACTGCCTGGCTCAGAGCCCGTCCCTCCGTCAGCAGCCCTCACGTGGCCAGCGGGGAAACGAGTCACTGGGCGCAGCGCCGGGCAGGTCCAGGCAGGGTCCGGGCGGCCCCGCCAGGCCTAGGGCAGCTGCGCGCGAGTTTGTCCCTCTCCAGGGCCGGGGCGGGGCCTAGGGCTGAGGAGGGACAGGACCCAGCGCGGTCGGACTCGGGGGACCCAAACGATGACCTCGGGGACCACGACGGCCCTGGGAGCCCCGCAGGCCGGGCGCGCGGTGAAAGAGGACCCCGGCCCTCAGGAGGTGCTCGGGGCAGGCAGGGCGGCTGCGCACTCCGCCCGCGCGCCCCGCCTCAGGCTGTCACTGGAACTGAGGCGGCGCGGAGCGCGGAGGACGCCCGCGGCCGCGCGTCCCGGCTCAGGGCGAGGGCCTGGGGGCGCCCCTGCCCTCAGCGCCTCAGCCCGGGAGCGCCACCCCCGCCCCAGAGCGCCTCGGCCCGGAGCAGCGCCCTCGGGCGCGGGGCGGTGACTCGGGTCCCGCGCGCCCGCGCCCGACTCCGGACCTCTCCGCGCATTGGCTGAGGCCCTTGCGGCCACGCCCGCTGGCGGCGGCGGCAGCCAATCGAAGACGCCCTTGCTGCGTGGTGCCGGCGGCCGGAAGCGGAGCGAGGCGGTGGCCGGGGTCGCGCTGCACGGACCGAGTGGGAGCGGCGGGCCGCGTCTCCGTCCAGGTGGGTGCGCGCGCGGGGTCCGCGCCCCGGCAGCTCGGCGGGTGGCCGTGACCGTGGGTCTCACAGCTCATCTCGTCGCAGGGCACGCATGGGCATCCTGACCGCGGTGACCCGGGGCCTGGTCCGCGGTGCGGACCGCATGAGCCAGTGGACGAGCAAGCGCGGGCCGCGCACCTTCAACAAGGGCCGCGGCGCCAAGGGCACCGGCGTGCGCGCCTCGGGCGGGAGGTTCGTGCCGGTGAAGGAGATGGCTCCGGAGTTCGTGGTGCCGGACCTGGCCGGCTTCAAGCTCAAGCCCTACGTGTCCTACCGCGCCCCCGCGGGCGCCGACGAGCCCCTGACGGCCAAAGCGCTGTTCCTGGACACCGCGGCCCCTGCGATCGAGAAGGACTTTCGAGAAGGTGCTTTCGACCCCGAGAACTTGGAGAAGTACGGCTTCGAGCGCACCCAGGAGGGCAAGCTCTTCCAGCTGTACCCCAAGAACTTCCCGCGCTGACTCCCGCCCCGGGGGCCTTCCCGCGCCCCTTGTCCATTAAAAGCCCTTCGCGTCCCCACGGGGTGTCTGTGTGGGTGGCATCAGGTCACGTGGTCACGCGGCAGATTCCACTCACTGCCCAGGCAGGCCACGCGGGACCACAGCTCGGCTTGGTGAAAGGTCGTCCTGGGCCCGAGGTAGGGATGCAGGGAAGTCTGGACAGCCCGGGCTGCTGGCATTCCGCACTTCAGCCACGCAGCTCCTCCCAGACAAGACATCAGGGGCATCCCAGTTACTCCACAGTGAGGAGTGGGTGCCCTGTAGACGGCCCACATCGCAGGCTAATGATCCCAGCACAACCCAGAAGCCTCCCTGTCTTCCCGTCGCTCATCTGCATAGTTTCATGGTTCCACGATGTGATTTAAAATTTGAGACCAAGAGTTCCCATCTATTGATTTACCCACCATATGCTCACAACAGCCAAAGCCAGGAGCCACAAACTCCATCTGGACCTCCCATGTAGGTGGCAGGGGTCCAGGTAACTTGGGACTTCGCCTACTGCTTCCCAAGTTGTGTATTTGCAGGAAGCAGGAGCTAAGACTCCAACTGAGACACTTTAAAAATATATATATATTTATTTGAGTTATAAAGAGATACAGAGGTCTTCCACCCACTGGTTCACTCCCCAAATGGCTGCAACAGCTGGCACTGGGCCATGCTGGAGCCAGGCGCTTCATCTGGCTCTCCGATGTGGGTGCAGGGGGGGCCCAAGCACTTGGACCATCCTCCCCTGCTTTGCCTGGTGCATTTCCAGGGAACTGGGTTGGAAGTGGAGCAGCCAGGACTCGAACCTGTGCCCACACGGGACTCCATAATAAGCGGCAGCTTTACCTGCTAAGCCACAACACCAGCCCCAAGGCAGCCACTCTGATGTGCATCATGGGTGTCCCAAATGCCTACTCCAAGGTGGCCTTTTAATGTCCATCCAGAGTTACTTCTGACGTAACAGTAACTTCTCGGGCTTGTTTTAATTAACATAAGCCAAAGGGCTGAAGGTCAACATCACCTGAGAAGTAACAAGCTGTGGGCTGGTGCCCCAGTCCCTGCCAGGTAGACACCAGGGCTCTTCAGTGGTCCTGCAGGGAAGCCTTGCTGACAGACGCTGGCCGCCTGCATTGGGCAGTTTCCTCAGCGTGGCTGGGGGGAGGGTCTTGAGCTCCGTTCACTTCCCATTTCCAAAGGTGGAGAACGTGATCATAGAATGAACAGGTGGCCAGGAGGCTGCCATCCAAGTTTGCCTCTTGCAGGTCAGGGTCACAGTTGCACGCCTTGGCTGTGGCGTGCAGCTGACTGCCATTGCTGCTCATCTCTGTGAGCGGTAGGAGAGAGGCCAGTGGGTTGACTGTGCCTGGGGATCTTGCGTGGTCCTCCCCCTTACTGGCCACTAGGTGGTCGAGAGAGGGCCCCGGGGGCTTGTTTGTGGCTGTGTCTGCTGGTCTGGCTCCCTCGTTGCTGCGTGGAAAGGCCGATGAGGAGGGCCCGGGCTGTGGTGAACAGGACGGGAGCCAGGACCAGTCGGCCCCATATACCAGCGAGTTGGGCATCGTGTGGGACACCAAGACTGTTGCCTCCTGCTTCTCTGGAGCGAGAGACAAGAGCACAGAGAAATACAATGTCACAAGTGGTCAAGTCCCCAGGTGGCCCCTGTCCACCCTTCAAGGGAGACCCCAACCTGAGCAGCCCCTCCCTTACGAATAGTTTACTGGGCAGCAGCAAACTTTACTTTCTGTGTCCTGCAAAGGAATCAGGATGTGGACAGGTGGCAAAGAAAGCCAGACGTCGCTTGCAGTGCTGGGTGTGCCTCAGAGAAACCAGACGGCCATGGAACCACACGTGAGGGCATGTTTCCAGCTCAAGTCACAAGGCTTCTCAGGGGAATACGCCGCAGTTAAGACTTAAAAAGTGAAGGGTGGGAAGGAGCTGCATGAGCAAACGGGACACAAGCATGTACGGAACTGAAAACCAGCTCGCTGAGGAGCCAGACGGCCGTGGCTGTGCTGCTCTTGGTGAGGGCACAGAGAACGGGCTCGGACAGCAGCTGCAGGGTAGCGCACGACCTCCTGCTTCGTGCGGCGCTGTTACAGCCACGTGGAGGGTGGGGGGACTGGCACACAGCCATGCAGCAAAGGACCCCAGAAACAGAGAGGGTGAGGTGTGGCCGTGAGGGGGCAGTGGTCCAAGAGCAAGGCCCCACGCTGTCAGAGCAGCCAGGAAACTAGAGGAAGGCGAGTCGCTTCTGCTCCAGCTCCCTGGGAAGCAGCAGATGACGGCTCAGGTACTTGGGCTGCTGCCACGCACGGGGGACAGCTGGATGGAGTTCCAGGACCCTGGCTTCAGCCTGGCTCAACCCTGGCCCTGGCCACTGCAGCCATCTGGGGAGTGACCGAGCAGAAAGAAGCCTGCTCACTAATTCTGCCTTCCAAATAAATAAATCTTAAAACACAGGAAGACGTTTTGTCTGGTATTACGTCTTTTCCAAATATAGATGGAGTTGTGTAAAAATTATTTCTGAAAGGTACTCCTTTCTTTAGATCTATTTATGTTACAGGCAGAGTTACAGAGAGGGGGAGACAGATCCATCTTCTATCCACTGGTTTACTCCCCAGACTGCTGGAACGGCTGGAGCTGAGTAGGTCTGAAGCCAGAGCTTCTCGGTCTCCCACGGGGGCGGCAGAGGCACAGCACCAGCTCTTTCTCTCAGTATTCAGTATCTGCCTTTCAAATAACTCTTTTTTAAAAAAGATTTATTTTATTTATTTGAAAGAGAGAGAGGTCTTCCATCTGCTCCCCAATTGGCCACAATGGCCAGAGTTGCGCTGAGCCAAAGCCAGGAGCCAGGGGATTCTTCTGGGTCTCCCATGTGGGTGCAGGGGCCCAAGGACTTGGGCCGTCTTCTACTGCTTTCCCAGGCCATAGCAGAGAGCTGGATGGGAAGAGGAGCAGCCGGGACTAGAACCGGCGCTCATATGGGATGCCGGAGCTTTAGGCCAGGGCTTTAACCCACTGCGCCACAGCGCCGGCCCCTCAAATAACTCTTAAAAAAAAAAGTGCTGCAGCACTCATTAATGACACAGAAGGAAAGAGCTCCCCCGTGTGGTGCCATCGGGCCAGCACGAGCCTGACAGTGCACGTCACCAGTGAGGGGACCAATGACACCCTGCAAAGATGCGCAACCCCAACTGCAAGACACTTTGGAGTCCAAGAGGGAGCACATGGACAGGAAGAGGACGGCAAAGCTGCAGCAGGCAGCAGCTCTCCCGGCAAAGCTGCGTGGTTTCACTAGCACCAGCATAACAGTGGCCAGCGCTGTGGCGCGGTGGCTTGAAACCCCAGCCTGCAGTGCCGGCACCCCATATGGGCACCAGTTGCTGTCACAGCTGCTCCACTTCCTATCCAGCTCTCTGTGATGGCCTAGGAAAGCAGTAGAAGATGGCCCAAGGGGCCGGCGCTGTGGCATAGCAGGTAAAGCCGCCACCTGCAGTGCCGGCATCCTATATGGGCATGGGTTTAAGACCTGGCTGCTCCAGTTCCAATCCGGCTCTCTGCTACGTCGTAGGAAAGCAGCAGAAGATGGCCCAAGTCCTTGGGCCCATGTACCTGCCTGGGAAGACCCGGGGAAAGCTCCTGGCTTCAGATCAGCGCAGCTCCAGCTGATGCAGCCAATTGGGGAGTGAATAAGCAAATGGAAGACCTCTCTCTGTGTAATTCTGCCTTTCAAATAAATAAAATAAATCTTTAAAAAAAAAAAGCAAAAAAATGGGAGGTGGGCTTGTGACATGGGGTTAAGCTGCCATTTGACATATCTATATCCTAGACTGGAGTACTGGTTCAAGTCCCAGCTGCTCCACTTCCAGTCCAACTTCTTGCTAATGCATGCTGGAGGCAGTAGATAATGGCTCAAATGCTGAGCCCCTGCCACCCATGTGGGAGACCCAGATGGAGTTCCTGTCTCCTGGGTTTGGCTTAGCCCAGCCCTGGCTGCTCCAGGCATCTGGGGAATGAACCAGGGGATGGACCATCAGTCTGTCACTCCACCTTTAAAGTACATGACATGAGTACATGTTACTAGAAAGGACACATTACAATGATAAAAAGGTTGTCACATCAAGATGTCTAGGAATTATAAACTTCAAAAAGCTCCTGGAAAACAGAATTTAGAAGATGTTTCTTTTGGTGCCACAATTGAAGCACACGCATGATTTTTTCATAGCGAGCATTTTCTATGAGCATAAACACTCCTCATGT